CCTCCCATCAAGGGAAAAAAAAAAATCATTTTGTGCTGCAAAACAATGCACAAGTTAAATTGGATGTTTTACGCACATATTGTTGTCATGTCCAGGGTTGAATTATGAATTATGCTCAGTACTAACAGGACTGGAACATTTTGTGTTTTGCTTGGGAAAGTGCAACCATAACATGCAGAAGTCGCTTGTCCACATGCAGAATGAAAGCCTTACCCCAAGTAAACTCCAGAAGGCTTAGATTTTCAGTTAGCAAACATCTTTCCTGAGGGAAAAGAACATTTCCCTCTTACTGATATGTAATTAGCGATTTTAGAGGACACTGTCAACAAGCTAACGGCCTTCTGCCTGCAGGTCATCAGTATAAATATAGCCCAGCTCAACAGGGATTAAAAATTGTTCATGTCTAATAAAATGGTTGGTGTCTCCTCTGTGAGATGAGTTTAACTGGGCTCAGATCCAGCTCCTATATCACAAGCATAAGCAGCAGCATGGTAAATGGCACACTCAGCTGAGATGCCCACAAGTTCATGGGCTGCGGAGCTTGAACTCTACCTCCTCTGATATCCCATGCACATCATATGCACATATGTGCACAGCCTCACCCAGTTTGCCCTGAGTCTCCTCAGGCTTCCAATTCACAAAGCACAAGAGGTCAGTGTGAAAAAATGGGGCATTTTTCAGCTCTTTCCAGACTTAAAGAGCCTTGGAGATCTTAATAAAGGCTGCCAAAATTTCACTGCTGCAGCAAGGAGCCCAAAAGCTTAAATGTGGGCTTCCTGCTGCATCCACAACCCCCAGCAGCTCTGCTGGGCATCCATAACCCCCAGGGCTTCCCGACTCTCGCATCAGCTGGGTTTCTGGGAAGCCCAAACTGCTCCAAAACCATCCCACACCCATCATTTTCCCAGCTGCCCACCATAAAACAACTGCAGTTGGTTTGACCAGAAACTCCACATTTCCAACCCATTACGTTGCATTACCACGCATTCCTTCCTTTCCTTCTTGTACTAACCCATCATAAAATAATTATCAGCCACGTTGCAACGTCACTGCAAAATAAATAAATACTGCCTGTGCACACTGCATTCCTCGCCTGGCCAGCCCAGGCTGTCAGCTAGGGCTGAGCCTGAAAAATAGCTCCCACCTGTACCCACCCTGGCAGCAGCCTTGATTAGCAAAAAGCCTAAACCTGACATGGTGGGACGCGCTGCCAGTAAAAATGAAGTGTGCTGGCATGGGTGAGTGTGCAGGGACCCTGAAGCAAATCAGCAGCGAGCGCTGCCAGTCGCACCGGAGGTGCTATGGTGGCTGGTTTCCCATCGTTTGCCTAATCCTGTCAACATCTCCTGCAACTCTCAGGCAAACTTTAAAGAAAAAAAAAGTAGGATAGTAAAAATTGCAGTCAATATATCCTTTTAATTTGCACCAGATTATAGTTTTTTTAATGCAATTACTGTAATTTCATTAAATGACATAATTACCATTAATGCAGAGAAAACTGTCAATAGAAGGTGTAATTATGTTGTATAAAATCACAAGCACAATGTGCAATGATGCATAATTCCTCATGAAAATCATTCTGTGACTAAAATTAACTTTTAAAATATTTTAAAATACATATTGTACAGTAAGAATGATTCAGTTATTATGGACTTAACTTCCACAACCAGGGAAGAAGGGGGAGCAGAGTAGGAAGGGAGTGTTTGCTTGAGGAAGGAAGGACCAGGAATTCAGTTTAAAGTGCAACAGAAAGGTAAGAACACAGGTTTTCATATGCATGAGTGGGAAAAACAAACAGCTTATAATCGCACAGATATACAAGATGACTCCTGAGCAGACATTTCCCTAGGTACATTTCACTACACAGCTCCAGCTTCTTGGACACCAGTAACGCAGCAAGGAAGCGATGTCTCAGTGGAGTAAGGTGTGACAAGAGGAAGGAGTGATGAGGACCAAGCTAAAAACACAACATTCACCCTGGAAACCAGGAGCAAGTTGTCCAGGGTAGGATAACAAAGAGTCAACCGCAAAATGCCCGCTATTAAGAATCCAGAAAACCAACGTGTGACTCTTTCCTCCGACCCAGGATGTTTTTTCTGGCATTGGTGTAACACAATTTGCATCAAACCCTTTATGCACAGGGTAAATATCACCAAAACTGAAATTTTGCTTTTCACCTCACCTCCCTTTCAATCCTCTTTCCAAAACCTCTAAACCTAAAAAAAAAATTCTGATTTTACTAGTGCCTGAGCAGGCCTGATCAGCATCCTCTGTGCCTATACAATTAACTCAGGTTAAAAGTCATCAGATTAAAATTGCGGAAGGCTGAATGAAAAATACACTTTCACTTTTATAGCACAAAAAAATAATCTACTCATGTTCTGATACTGTCTCCCCTCACCATTACAACTTAATAAAGGAATTTAGCTTGGGAGGATGTACCTCATAAATAAGAAAACACAGTGATAGCATTTTTCTCATTCACTTGTGTCCTGCCTGTGCTGTCCTCTGTTTCCTCCCTCTTTCTCTGTCCCTTTCTCCTGTGCACCCAGAAGTAGCAGCTCATGTCCTTGTCACGCTCGGAGCTGTCAGCACTGATGGGGAGGGAGGTGCGCTGTAATGAAGACTAAAACAGGAAGGTGTGAGAGACCGCGTCCTCGCCTGTTGCCATGCTTTGATGATCTCTTACAAATATTTTCTCCTGTCTGGCAGTGGTTTTTGTCTGATTGCTTAAGAAAAGAAGGTTGATGTGATTATACTGTCCGCTTGTCTTCCTCCTCCTCCACCCCTTTATTTCCCCTTGAAGGAAGGGGCACGGCCACCCGTAGAGGGAAACCAAGGGCAATCCAACAGGGGAGGGGGGTCCACCCAATCTCTGGGATTATTACAGTGAAGACAGTGAAGATATGTGAATGTGTAGAATATGGTCACAGCAGTTACTCCCAGTGGCCCAAGAGACAATGTCTATGGGGGTGGAAAAAACAAAACCAGCAATGGTTTCACAAACCCAGATGAAAATGGGTGAGAAATTTTGTGCATCTTCCGCACCTCTGGTTTTCAGAGTGAGCTAAGAGCAAGTCATCAATAAGGACAAGTATGGCACTGGCTAAGCTGGTTCAAAGCCAAGTACTAAAGATATATAGATGCTGTTTGCTGGGGAACCATGATTTTTAAAACATGGTATCTGATACACCTTTTATTTAACCTGTTAGAGTAGATTTCATGTACAGATTGAGGCAGGGAGGGATGCTGCACCTACCACGCTATGTGTATTTTCTGTTTTGTTTTGTTTTTACTATGAACACACACATTGGAAATAGTGAGAGATACAGAATTAGCACTTCATTTTAAGTCCCAGAGCTGAGTTATTTCCATGTGGAGAAAGTCAGATAGAATTAAATTTTTGGTTGTAGAAGAAACTCACTCTAATTATTCTTGGAGTCATGTATTTGTATTCCTTTCTCACTACCCACCTTCTATCAGGAAACCAGGAGTATTACAGTATACAGCAGAGATGTCAATAATCTGTAACTTGCAACCTTCTGCCTTTGTGCTCACCATCCTTTTTTCTAGGAATAAACTCATTTTTCTGCAGACCCACTTTCCCCATATTCTTATTTTACTGCCTCTCCACCACTTTCAAACTATTCCTAAGTCTAGAAAACAGAACTTAAGTATTTAGGTGCAAAATCTCCTAAGAGCAAATCTCTTAACTATGTCCCTGGATTCTTGCTGAACGGTGATGGCAGGACATCACCACTGGGATTTTACATATGTCCCTCCCTTTCCAGCCCCAGTGTGGGCAAACATAGAGCACAACCTGCTTCAGCGAGGTACCAGCTGCTCTGCTCTCCACCACCTCTTGAACCATTAACTTTAGATATGATCTAAATAAGCATCAAGGAACAGGAATTAAAAAAATAAAATTATACAGAGTAAAGACCCTCTCATCCCACCTACTCTTACATGCCAGTAACCTACAGGGTGAAAGACAGGGCTTAAAACCAGGGATGGTCCACTTTACTCATCTGTAGCAAATACACTGAAGTGTTTTCCTCAGAAGAACCTTTAAGTGACTTGTAATGCATAGACAGTAAAAGGGGAGAAATCTTGGACATGTGGCTGTTATTTTGCTTAACAAACAGCTCAAAAACTTACTTTCTGCACGCTGGACCACCACAAAATGGTTTTGCAACCTTTAATGGCATGCCAAACATTTCAAGCATGAAGAAAATGTCACACCGCAGAATAAAAAGCAGGCAGAACCTTTTTGTGCTTGAGTGGATTATGAGAAAACTGCAAATGGGGTGTTTACTACCAAGAGGGAAAAGGAGAGAGCCGAAAAGTGGGACAGGCAGGTGGAGAACTTGGCTTTTTGTTCACAGAGTGCAGAACTCACCAACCAGTCTTTTCCTTTTCTTTTTTTTTTTTTTTAAAGCAATGTATTATCGTCATCAAGAGAAGAGATTTGCAACAAGCACTGTCTGCAGAGCTGCTTACCTGCCATAGGGACACAGCCATAGCAGGCACTGATCCTGCAGCAAAGAGCCACCTCATGGCAATGGAAGATGGTAGAGACAAGCTCACTGCATCACCCAAATCGAAGGCACCTCCCTGCAACACCCTCTCAGCCACCACCTCCCTCCTTCCCATTTTTTAAAGCCTTGCCATGTTTAAAAAAAAAAAAAAAAGTAAAAATCCAGAGACATCACATGGTTGCAGCCTTTACAGGGTGGTGTCACCCACCCACTACCATGGACATCCTCAGTGCTAGATGCAGGCTGTGAGCCAAGTGAAGAAAGGCTCTTCCTGAAGGTCTGATTTCCATGCCCATCAGGCCCAACGTGGCCCAAGCTGCCTTGAAACCCACAGCCCTGCAGCTACAAAATACCAACGACAGTAAGTGATAAAGGGCTTTAGGTCGATGGAGAGGAAGGCATGGTAACACTTGAGATCTTATAGCACTTAGCTTCATGCAATAAGAGAAGAAATCCACTCACCACGAACGCTATCACGCTCTTCACCGTGGACTCCCAGAGAAAGCAGCTCCGAAGGAATTGTATCGTATTCCATATTGCCATGGTGATTTTTTTCACGCGATCAACATTTCTTGATAAGATCTGATAAATATTTAGTGGGAAGAGGGGAGGAGAAGAGGAGTTTAATCACACACACTAATATCCTACTATTGCTTCAGAAACAGGGATAATTCAAGCTACAAATGCATGCCAGGGCACATATTACAAATAAAGCTTCTATTTCAGAGACACTCTCCAGCTCCTGTCTGCTTTCTGCTTACACCCAAACCTTCCAGATTTTCCTCATCTTTAGGAAAAAAAAAAAAAAGCATGTATTGATGCCAAAACTAAATAAAACAGTAACACAAACCTACCTTCATTCCCCTTCAACTCCCAAAATACAGCAACGGCTCAGGAAAAAGGGCCAGAAAGAATTTAATCAAAACACTGAACCTCTTCTCTACATGTTTTTGCTGAGTACACAGAAATAAACAGGGAATTTTAGGCATTTTACGCCTTTATACTAAATAAGGCACCTTTAGTTAAGAAACGTAAATAATAAAAAAAACCCCGTTGTTCTAAAATTCTATGGACTTTTAAAATAATCTGGAGTTGGTTTCTTCCTTCTCAAAGAAGGGAATATGGCTCTCATCATGCTTTGGGTGCTGTGAACTGTGCCACAGTTATAATTTTCCCCACTCTGAAGCACGAAGCAGAACTACTGATGCAAACTAGACCAGAAAGTAATTTCCTGTTAACACAAGCAAACCTTTTAATATATACAAAAATACACAGGATTTACATGTGTTCAGCATCTTATGCATAAATAGGTTTTGTTCTTACAACCACACTACTGCAATTCAAATCTTTCCAACACAGATGCAAGAGTTTAGACCAGACACAACGTGCACCTTTTTAGAAAACTTGCGGTTCTCCTCAGTAAAGCGCTTTTCTCGGGGCTTGAATGTTCTAATACTTGCTTTTATCTAAAAATAAAGTAAAAATAAATAAATTAAAATATGTCATGTAGTTTAAAGTGCATTATTTCAGCTTTGTGCCACCAGTGTCGATTAGGAATTTCAGAATCTTTCACTCTTCTCAGCCTCTATGTGACTTAGGAGAAGCTGCTAAGAAAGATGTGGACGAGTTAAATTGGGCAAAGCTGGACTCGCTTCAGCAAGAGCAGAGCTGCAGCCCACAATGGCCTTAATAAATAGGATTTAACTTGGTAAAAGGCTGTAGGGCATTAACAATTGAGACTGACTCAGCCACCTAAAAACTAAGTGCTCTGTGTCCGTGCCTCATTAATTTTACTGTCAACGCCCTGGGAAGAGAACATTGTGGGTCAGCTTTTTGGGGAAAAAGTAAGTGTTAAAAGTAAAGTACAATAATCTAAACATTAAGGCCTTTTGTGGCTGTTGCCAATGAAGTGGTGGCATACAGTAATTGGCACCTCCTTCCTAAGGCGCCTGTGGTCACTTGTCAGCCCAAAAATGCCCCCGCATTGTCCCATCACCTGGATTGACACCACAGAGCTCTGATGTCCCAACGCTTCTTCACCCACGGCATGAAACACCCCTTCACCACCAGGTCAGGACTTTTCCTGCTTGGCTCCTGGTTTTTAAAGGATCCCCTCTCTCCACCCCCATCCTTGCAGATTCATGCATTTCTTACACCAGTGATAAGCAAAGAGAAAATCTTGCAACTTACAGGATTAAACAGGACATCCAGCTCCAAGTAGATGACTCCTTTTGAAGCACGCTCCAAGTCTTTATTCTTCAGCGTGTAACAACTTTGTTTACCATTTCTAATCTACAGTTTGGGGAGGTGGGAGAAAAAGCATCAATATTTTCCTGGCTGTAATTCACAGTATAATTTCAAGACAGTACAAATATATAAATAAAATCTCAAGTACAAAAAATACCTCCCCAAACCCTTATAATATGCACAGAGCCTGAAATACACAATGCTCGTTGGATTAGAGACCTATAAAACTGCAGATTAAATCTCTTATGGTCCAACTTTAATTTACAGATCTTGTACTTTATAGTAGAGAAGTGCATGCAATAACCAGCCTGAAAATTCTGCCCTGGAAGCCAAAGAGTTGATGGGAAGTAATCAGCCTCCGTTATTACAGGTTTAAAATGGGATTTTTCTTCCAAAGTTCAGGACAAGAGCCACAAACAACAGCTTACCTACCTACTGCACACTCCAGTACACGAACCCGCTTCTTAACGCTTAGTTTATTGCAAGGTTGTCAAATTACTACCCAGGAAACAAACGCAATCCAAAGAAATTAATCAGCTTAAGTGGAGCGAATGCTAATGTAACAAATGTTCAAAATTAACTAATTCATGTAAAAGACTTCTCACCCTCCCCACCCCACCCCCGAATTTCAATATCATTTCTACACTCTAATCTGCCGGTTGGCCCCATAGCATTGAACATCTATTAAAAGGAAAAGAATAACCAACAAAAAAACACCCTCCCTCACCATTTTGTAAACTATTTGGCTCAAATCAAAAGCATTCTCTCTTCAGAAAGTGATGGCAGAAATGTATTTATTATACACTGTAGGATATGTATTGATTAAACATTTGGCTTTTTAGGAAGCAGACCAGTTAATTCTAAACAGCAGTAACATAAAAAACGGCAGCTTACCAAAAAGCTATGTTCAGGGACTGTAATGATCAAAGATTAAAGATAACAGAGGAAATTTGGGGGCATGAAATTGCAACCATATTTAAAATGGCTATTGCTGCTCTGGCATTTAGAAGAGGCACTCGTATAAACCGCAGCAGAAATGAGTATGGAGGGGGGGGGGAAAGGACATAATGGGAAACAAGTGATTTCAGGAGACAAGGGAAAGGTCACCTCCCATCCCTGTGTTGCTCCACCCTTTCTGCCCCAAATAGCTCGTCCAAGGGTAGATGGGATTTCTGGCTAAGAGCTGGAAAGGGAGAGGGCTCTCACAAGGACCAACTTTGCATCCTCTGTGGTGTCCAACCAGGAACTCCAGCTTTTAACTAGATCTCACCCAAAGCTTTTTGCTTAACAGGATGCTGGGAGTCATGCAGGCATGTGTTGAATTTATTTACTATCAATAAATAATAACAATCATAGGTACTGCATTCAACTGATCACAAAGCACCTCTGCTGCCACTGCAAGGGAGTACACGTAAGGTTGGAGTTGGTGGCAAAGGATTCTGCAGCTCCCAAGGAAGTGGCAGACAAAATCTATTCTGCAGACCAGAAGGCTCAGGTAATCTGCAAACCCCAAACCAGAACTGCTGCTGGAGTGGCTCATCTCTCTCCTAGGGCCAAATGGAACAGCACCAGAAGGTCACAGGCCAAATGCCACACATAGGATCATCAACCCATCATATAGGACTCTGCTATTTTGTTTTTCCCATCCTCAAGCAGGGGCAAAAATTATTTTAAAAGCTACTGAACAAAACCAAAACAAAACTTATTTGGAAACTAAAGATTTTGTTCAATTTCCCAAATTAACTGAAAAGTGGATTTACTGATGGTAGAGATACAGGTCAGAAGGATTTGGTTTGTGGTTGTCAACCTTCTGGTCCAAGGGGATGCCACCAGCAGCAGGTTTAGACAGAGCTTTGGTTCACGGACACTCCTGCTACAGGATAGGAGTTACGTGTCTGCAGAGATGTTGGTGTCCAATATGTATCACAGTATGATACTTGATTTGCCATAGTTAATTTCTGGGCTGAATTTCCGTGTATTCCAGTTACAGATATTTCTCCTAGCATTTCATCCTACAGCAGAAACGACTAGTGGGAAATTCTCTTTGCATTCCTCGGGATATATTTCTTTCTTACATCTTTCAAGAGCATAACCGACAAGGAAAAACTGTCGTATGCAGCTAAATTGCTAGAACAAGGGAAAGAAATGCTGTCACTACCGAGAAGGTCCAAGTCTGATATCATGGTATTCTGTACTCATAAAATGCTTCTGACTTTGAGGAAAAGACCCTTTATTTCAAGAGCTAGAGCCGAATCGAACATTTTGGGTGTGTCTGCACGTGTGTTCACACAGCAGCTTGCAAATCAAACAACAAATAACTTCCATCTCTGTTTGTCTTTGGAAATAGGAGTTGTTAGTTGCTTGGGAAACTTTTTAAAATGGTGTCATTATTGGTGTTGCTGTTATTTTAAAATTGAACAGGGCAGAAAGTACACAGTGCAAATACAGTTTTACAGTCAGCTTCATTTGGCATCTTTAATTCTAAGTGCTTGACTTGTGTGGTAAAAGAAATGCAATTATAGCTCAGCCTAAGACTAAACATTCATACAGATATCCTAGCTTTTGACCTTCTTCAGAGGAAAAAAAGCACAAGAGAAGAACAGCAGGCTACAAAATGGCATTTCTTCATTGCATTTTCATTTGGATAAGAAGTAAAAGCCCTGCAAAGAAGTCAGAGAAAAACATCTCTTACAGTTTTGGCAACGTGCTAAGCCAGCACGGTTCAG